ATTAGGAATGATACCAAGGAGTGGGATATACAACGCTTACGAGATTACTTTCAGCCGGAGGATATCATTTTAATCCTTGGGATTAAACCCTCCGTTTATTCTGGTCCGGATGGGTATATTTGGAATCATACAAAGACATGGGTATACTCAGTCAAAACCGGCTACGATCTACTCCAATCAAACATGACAAGCCCTACTCAGGATTTGGTCCTTGAACCAAGTACCACTGGCCTCTTAAGTCATGTGTGGAAGCTGGAGGCCCCAAGCAAGATGAAACACTTTTTGTGGCAAGCAATCCGGGGTTGTATGGCGACGGCAGAAAGGCTCACCTATAGACACCTGGGCACCGATAGGAGTTGTCCTAGATGTGCTGACCCAGTGGAGTCGATTAACCATCTTCTATTTGAGTGCCCCCCTGCCGTGCAGGCATGGGCTTTATCGGACTATCCGTCCATTCCGGGTGTCTTCCCGAGTACATCTTTATTTCAAAATATAAATTTCCTTTTTTTGGAAAAGAAAAGAGGTGGCTCCTTGGAGACCATAATTCGATACCTTCCCATGGATCTGCTGGTACATTTGGAAGGCAAGGAACGACATACTCTTCAACGGGAAAGTCGTTTCCCCGATGGATACTCTCCAACATGCGTCACTAGAGGCTGAATGTTGGAGGAAAGCAAATGCGAGGGAGGAGGACGAGGAAGTCTATGAGGGCCCTCCCCTATTGGAGATTGCGACAGAGTCCCCTGAGCCCCCCCCCCCGAACTGTAACCTGCCAAATCGATGTATCATGGATCGACCATGGCAGGGTCAGTGGTTTAGGGTGGAGTCTTAAGGATCAGATGGGCTCTGAATGCTTCGGATTACTGGCATGTGAAAGGAACCGTTCTGCTCTGCATGCGGAGATGGAAGGTCTACTTTGGGCAGCCTCATGCGTGCGTCATATGGGAATATCCTCGGTACAGATCGAAACGGACTGCTCCGACCTAGTAGATATGTTTACTAACTCGGAGGAATGGCCGGCTTTCACAACGGAAATCAAGATGCTCCAGAGACTACATGAGGGCTTCGAGGATATGAGTGTGTATCATATTCCTCGGAGTAGGAATGCTCGAGCGGACGCATTAGCAAAGGCAGCAAGGAGAAAAGGATATATCTTCTTCCATAAAGATCAGACCAGGTCACACGGAGGTACTCCACGAATGATCGACTCGTATGACCACCACTTGATCTAGATAGAATGGGCCACTGACAAAAAAAAAAAAAGTCTAATAATTGATGTTGGTAAATGATGCAGTTACATATTTACTCAATTTGTTTTACTATAAATACAAAAGAGCACTGCTGAATAGGTCTCAGCTTAATCTCTCAAGCTCGTGCTTATGACAATGATTCTTATAGCATCGGTCATGTAGCCTCCTTAAAGGCCATGATTATCCATGAAACCCAGAAGGGGTTTCTTAAATTTTCTCTTTTTTTTTGGCTGATTAAAAAAAAAAATTAAAAACGCATTAATCGCGGGCTATCATGTGTCGGTGGAGCCCGCATACAGTGCAAGAAATACAGAAAAAGGGATCCTTAATTCACTACTTCGGTTACCGTTTGCTATGTTTTTTGTGGGGGTCCACATGCTAACTTTTCCTAAATACCCCATTAAGGATCTGGGATAATGGTACCCTTATGTCTTGGTTTGGACTCTTCATAGTTCTCAATGGTACCTACTGGTATCAGCTACCACAACACGACTAAGATTTACATTCCATTTAGTTTTTTTTTCTTCTAATGAACAAGTAATTTCAAATATGATTTCGTTTATATCTCACTTATGTCACAAATGTATCAATAATATGAAAAGAACAAAAAACATATATATCTTACTTTGGTTTAATATTTTGTTCAATTATTGAAAGATGAGAAACGAAATTCAATTAAACCAAACTTATTATTTCAAATCAATTGTTAAATGGTTTGGTTATGTTTGTTCCAGGCAGCCAGAGTGAACAAACCTAACTTTTAACTACCAAGTACTACTGATCAAGACTCAAACAGACTATTGAAAAGTGACTCTTTAGGTTTACAATGCCAAGAAATAAAAAAAAAACAATAAGTTAAGTTCAAATGGTCTAAATTAAAAACCTTATTACCAAGAACGTGACTGGTCCAAAGAAGAAGCATGAAGACTCATCTCCACTTTGGTCCTAACAGACAATATTTCTCTTGTTTTCTACAAGGCGTTTCCAATACTTAGCGATATCCTGCATCGACATCTTAGCAGTCTTCTCTTCACCATCACTAACCTTTGCAGCTGCTGCTATATGCGCAATCCGGCTAGGAAGCCCTTCAATCTCTTTCAGAACCTGTAAGATATGTGTGATGAGTCTATCTGCAAGGCCTCGACTAAAATCTTCCCTTATGACAACTCTGAGCACAGCAATGTGTTGTGCATCTGCAGGCATAGTGTAAGCTGGTATGATCCACCCAAATTTCCTCAAAGACTCTGCAATCTCAAACACAGTGTGTTTGCTACTGTCCTTGAGAGAGAATGCCACTAGCGGCACGCCTATATCTTTAGACACAATGTTGAACTTCCCTGTCTTCTCTATTCCTTCTCTTAGCCTCCTCGCATTGTCCATGCAGTTTTCCATTATGTTCTTGTATCCCTTTTATGATTATATAGTTTTCTTAGAATAAGATGAAACTGTAAAGAAGATACTATATAAAAGTAACAAGTACCTCAAAGCCTAGACGGATAAACTGATAGTACTGACCAATGATTTGGCTCGACCCTGCAAAAGAAATCGAATTTTTATTAGAGGAAATGCAATGACGAGTTATAATTTCTTATAGTTTGTAATAGCATAATTAAAACTCGCTATTAAAAAAAAACTAATGGGTTATACAAAACCTTTAGAGAAATTAAGAGTGAAAGTGGGTTGATCAGCTCCTAAGTAATTAATGTGAAAGACAAGGTCTTCAGGCAAATCATCTTTGGTTCTCCAAACAATCCAACCAACTCCTGCATAGACAAGTCCATACTTATGACCACTGACATTGATACTCTTCACCCATGGAAGCCTAAAGTCCCATTCAAGATCAGGGTAGAGAAAAGGAGCAATGAATCCTCCACTTGCTGCATCAACGTGAATAGCAACATCCCAACCAGTCTCCGCATTTTTCTCAGCTAAGAGATCGTTTAGTGTCTTCACATCCTCAAACTCTCCTGTAAGTGTGGATCCTAGAATAGCTGCAACGCAGATTGTATTCTCATCCACCATCTCTACAGCTTTAGCTGGATCAAGCACGTAATAGCCTTCACTTAGTTTCACTTCTTTGAGCTCTACCTCAAAGTACCTTGCAAATTTCTCCCAACACACCTGCCCGGATGATTACAAAAATGTGTTGATGATGTTTTAAAGAATATAATGATGGTTGGAGGATGAGAAGTAAGTGTATATATATAGACCTGAACATTGGCACCAGTAACAATGTTGGGATTATCAGTAGGTAGACCTTGAGCTCTTCTCCTCTGTTGCCATTTCCTTTTGAATGCTAAACCGGCAAGCATTATAGCCTCAGATGAACCAACAGTTCCGCAACCAATAGCAGCCTCATCTTCTCCAACGGGAGCATGGAACAAGTTGGCTATCATGTTTACACACCGGTTCTGAAGAAGAGAGATTAAGATGTATTAATACAATATGGAAAACAGGCTTGAAGATATATTTATAATGAAAATAGGGAGGAACCTGGAGCTCGGTGGTGACAGGATATTCATCCATGTCAACGTAGTTTTTGTTCACGGCTTCCATCATGAGTTTGTCACACTCAGGTTCCATCCAAGTGGTGACAAAGGAAGCTAGGTTAAGCCTGGGGTTGCCATCAAGCATCAACTCATCGCTGATAACTTGATAAGCAGCGTCTTTGGGCATGGAATGGTCAGGCATCTTGAACCTTTTTTAAGATATTCAAAACAATAATGCAATCATAACATAAAAGGAAAAAAAAAAACAACACTAAAGATGAGGAAAGAGTCAAGGATAAGAGCAGAGAGAAGAACCTGGGAATAACAGCACGGACATATCTGGAAGCGAAAGTGGAATGCAAATGCTCTTCGGAGTCAGAGTTTCTGGCGAGTGCCATTTTTTTTTTTTTACTTTGTGCTCAAATGTTTGAACAGAAGAGGAGAATAGATGTCAGAAGTTTTATTTTACAGATAAATACGGAAAGCAAAACTCTCTTCACTAATTTAAGACATTCATGTAATTAACTAACTCCCTCTTTTCACTCTATTCCCCTTGACTCTCTCTCTTCCCCTTGAAATGTGTTTGTATACTATTATTGTCAGAGAGACTTACATCACAATAAATAAACAAGAATTTGATAGTAGACATGATCTTATGAAAATCGACAGAGCCTTGTAAGCCGGATTATGAATAAGAGCAGCTGCACTTGGTCTTTGTTATCTCCTTCAAAATCAAAGTTTACGCACTGAGAATCTGAGATAAACATGACGAGTCTAAAAAAGAATGCGCAAAATAAACATATAAAAATGGTTCTCCAAGTAGCACCAGTAGTGTCTTGTCTCATAGTATCACACATAAACGGAGATCCCTCACATAGTCTCAAAAATCTTTAAAAATACATACAGGAAGCTAATAGTCTCATTCTCATCTAATGTTCTAAAAATTGGTTTAGACAAGACATTTAGACATCTGCTTAGTGGGCAAATCAGTATGGACAAAATGACTTCTCAAACCAATTTATTTAAAAATTGGTCTAAGTGTTAAAAAAAAATCGGTCTCATTCTATATGATCCCTAACCACCACCTAACCATTTTTTAGAACATGTATTTACTTCCCTAGAAACAAAAGGAAGAAGCTACTAAAAGATTAAAAAAATGGTGAGTTAATGGGCCGAAAAAGGCCCATTAAGTAAAAACTCAAGCAAAAAAAAGTCATGGACAAGCGGCGTACATACGTGTCGGCCGCGCGCAGAATCCAGATCATAGAAGAAGAAGACGACCGAGAGAAAAAGAAAGCGAAAGAGAGAGAGAGATCTAGAAGAAGAAGATGGCATTGCAATGGCTGATTCTATCGTATGTGGTTGCCGCGGAGGTCGCGATCGCCCTTATCTTGACTCTCCCTTACCCTATGCTTCTGAAGAAACGCATCGTCTCACTCGTCTCCCTCATACTCCAGCCCGCCGCCTCCATCGTCGCCTTCGCCGGGTTTCAACTCCTCGGTAACGGCCTCTCTCTCGTTGATCGTTTAATTTCCCACTATTTACTGTTTGTGATCGATATGCTCTTTATAGTTAGGGTTTCAAACAGGATTTTGGTAATTACTCATTTGACCTTTATTTGGCGTATATATGCGTTTTGGTGTTCTTTCAGATATATATTGGAAGAATGAGCATAGGCTAGAGTGTTCATCTGAGGTTTGCACTGCTACAGAGCGAGATCGCTACGAGAAATCCGTAAGTGTTTTCTTTACAACATTTGTGTTTAAGATCGTTTCCTCACATTTGATTACTAGAGAGTCCGGAGCATAGCTTTTTTGTATCTATCTTTCATTATTTGAAGATTATAATGAAAGATAGTTATCAATAATTGAGTTCTCATTGCATATTTTGTCATAGATTCGCAGTGTTTAGTTGTTACTGTGGTTAGTAATCTGTCTATATCGCTTTTATTGCATAACTTAGCTACGGTTAAGAAGCTAAGGAATCTTGTTTTAGTGGATGTAATTTCTTCGATAGATTTGTCATAATGGAACCGGTGTCTTGTTCTTTACACGCCCTGTTCTTGTGGATGTGTTGGTGGTTGATTGTCCATGCGATTTAACCACTCCAATTGCTTATGTTCCGGACACATACGATGAGCCTTATTTTTTAGTTTGTGTTTCTGGTCGCTTAATCGATTGTACGTTGTAATAATCGAACCTTAGGGATATTCAGTCTGCTGTTTTCGGCTACTGCTGTCCTTCCCTAAAATGTATCGTTTCAGTGAACTTACAAGTTTACTTGTGTGGCAGATTTAACCACTGAATCTGAAACATTGATCTGAGCCTTTTTAGTTTGTGTTTGTGTTCGCTTGAATCGATTGCACGTTGTAATAATCGAACCTTAGGGATATTCAGTCTGTTATTTGAGGCTTCTGTTGTCATTTCCCTAAAATGTTTCGGTTCAGTTTACAAGTTTACTTATGTGGCAGATCTACAAGGCTCAGAGGAATGTGGTTCTGTGTGCGGCTGGGATCCTTCTCTACTGGTACATCATCAGCTATCACAGACCTCACACTTTCACATTTATGTAATTGAATTGACTTATATACTCTCATATACAATGATAGGTGTATTTATCGCATCTGCAAGTACAACAAAGACCTTGAGCATTTGGAGGAATTAGAGAAGAGATACAAGTCAGAATAGTAGTCTCCTCAGAGTCTGGTTCTTCTGTTATAATATCACCTCGTCTTGTTAGTAGACCATGATTTATCTTTGCACAGACCTTATTTCTTATTTGTGTTTCATCTTGCAACTTTGATTTACTTTTGGAGAAACAACATGTTCTATTCTATTTCATTTCCGGAAAATTTACTTTCACGCATTAGTTGTTATAAGAAATCTAGATCACTCCTTGCAAATATATTTGCATTTGCTTTGGGACAGTCCTGTGAGAGCCAAGCCGAGTTGGTTTCTAGTGGTTGATTGTCCGGTTTGATAGACTAGTCTGCTAGGATCTAATCTGTCAAATCAATTGGTAGCTTAGCTACAAACTTGTCTTGTTTGAATCAAACTAAGCCGTTCTGGAACACCATATCTAGACCGGTTTAAAGAGCTGGACCAAGGACCCTCAAGGGAGTCGAGGACGAAAAGGGAGGCAGCCAGTTGCGAATGACTAGACCGAAACAGCCGTAACGGATCATCGGGATTCTCATTTATATGACACATTCTAAGCTTTGAGTAAACTTTTTTATGACACATTCTAAGCTTTGAGTAAACAATAGATTTTAAACCTTAGCTTTAGCAAAATAATTAAAAAAACAGTACTCGAGTGGGAAGTGTACAGTGACAATAGTGTCGTCGGCATATGGTAGGTTGTAGCAGCATTGTCCGCTGTTAGAACTTGTCTGAAAGTGAGTATGTGGTCCAATAGCAATGCCGTCTCGTGACACAATCTTTTCAAATACATTAAAAAAAACAACCCAACCCATCATTTGATTGCCCACGTAACGTTTCCACTAATTATCTTCTTATAGATGATTAATCAAAATTAAACAGATTGGACCTTAGCCAAAAAATAAAAGTTTCCTATATATCACCACGTAATTCTTTTTATTAAGTTTTACCGTAAACTTTAAGCCACAACTTCATTATTCATTTTTACTAAAAACTCAAAACCTAAACATAGGGTTTTGTATATAATTTTTTTTAGAAATTGAAAACTTCCACAAACAAAACCAAAATCTCTGAGATTCAGAACACAGAAAATGAGAGGTTGATGTGAGAGAATTTAAGAGCAGTGGATGAAAAAAAATAATAATAAAAAAGATGCGGCTACTGGTTGGAATATCCTTCAGCATCTCTTACCACACCTTCTTTTTCTCTACCTTCAATAATTTTTCTGTTTAAAAAGCATCTTCTTCTTCTCCCTCCTTCCTCATTCATCATCTTCATCCTTCACACCTTAACCATCCAACATATTCATTCTCAGTATATACATTCATAGATAAAGAGATATACAGTTTCTCTTCCTCCAAGCCACTCAAACCTAATATATCGTATCTTTTTTTTAATATATTTGTGTGGAGCCTTACGTATGGATTCTCATCGAACGTTAGTATCCGCTTCTGTGGCGAGCCTGTGTTTTCTATTATGTATCTGCATGACGAACGGTGAGCTTCAGAGATTTATAGAACCGGCGAAGAGTGACGGTTCCATTAGCTTCATAACCATCGGTGATTGGGGTCGCCGTGGCGACTTCAACCAATCTGTCGTCGCCTACCAGGTTTGGAATATTCTAACATAATATGCCATAATTGAATAGTCTTTGTTACTTCTGTACTCGTACAATAACATGGTCTTAAGTTTCAAAAAAAAAAAAATATATATATATATATATATATATATATATATATAATAATAGCATTGTCTTTTTAATTTTACATTTTAAAATAATTAATTAATACAGATGGGAAGGGTTGGAGAAAAGATAGGGTTAGATTTCGTGGTGTCCACGGGAGATAACTTTTACGACAATGGATTGTTTAGTGAACACGATCCAAACTTCAAAGAGTCTTTCTCTAACATCTACACTGCTCCAAGTCTCCAGAAACAGTGGTACAGTGGTAATAATCCAAAAACATCTGCTCTGTTTTTATTTTATTTTATTTGTATCAATCTATTACTGATATGCAAATGATGCAGTCTTGGGGAACCATGACTACAGAGGTGACGCAGAAGCTCAGCTAAGCCATGTTCTCCGAGAAATCGACAGCCGTTGGACCTGTCTCCGATCATTCATCGTGGATGCAGAGTTGGTCGAGATCTTCTTCGTCGACACCACTCCTTTCGTTAAAGAATACTACACGGAAGAAGATGGCCATACCTACGACTGGCGCGCGGTTCCTACTCGCAACTCTTATGTTAAAGCTCTTCTAAGTGATGTCGAAGCTTCTTTGAAGAAATCTAAAGCCACGTGGAAGATTGTGGTTGGTCACCACGCGATGAGAAGCATTGGTCATCATGGGAACACTGTGGAGCTCGTTGAAGAGCTTCTTCCGATTATGAAGGAGAACGGTGTTGATATCTATATGAACGGACATGACCATTGTCTTGAACATATTAGTGATGAAGACAGTCCTATTCAGTTTTTGACTAGTGGTGCTGGTTCCAAGGCTTGGAGAGGAGATGTTGACCCGACCACTAATAATCCTAAGTCTGTGAGATTTTATTACGATGGTCAAGGGTTCATGTCTGCTAGATTCACTCACTCAGATGCAGAGATTGTGTTCTACAATGTGTTTGGTGAGGTTTTGCACAAATGGGTTACTTCTAAACAGCTTCTTCTCTCCTCTGTTTGATTAAAAAAAAAAGGCGAATAAAATTTTGTTTCCTTGTAATTTTTGTAAAATATCTTTTTTTTAAGTCCTATTGCAGGCTAGGTAGGCTTCCTGCTTAGTTTAGCATCAATTTAGCTATAGCTTATCCCAATAAAGATATTATTTAAATGTAATGTAATGTAATGATTGTCTTCTTAATGTTATAGTCATTTGCATTACAGAACCATTTTTTCTAGTTTAGTACAAAATGGTTCCTTACAAGGCTCTCAAACAAAGCTTGATATTTATCTGTTCGCCCTTTGATGAATCCTCTGTGTGCTTCTCCATGATCCCAACTGCTTCTCTTGATCTCATGGTAGCATATCTCTGAAGCGTCTCATGACTATTCGGCTCTTGTGTGGCACGCGTGGTGGACTATTGTTTGATTGTGACATATGGGCTATTGGGCCTAATAGTCCATTATATATTCAATATGGGACCATTATAAACTCATACCTCTAGACACAACCTTAGCCTAACGGTAGATTCCGTTACGTGTTACACGAATCTTTAGTATTTGGCGTATAAACTCAATCCTCTATCCTTAATTTTCTTGTGTTAAAAAAATAATAATAATATCCTTAACTTTATCCACACAGTTGACCCTTAACTAATCAAGGTGAGAGACTAGACAAAAATGGGGGAGATAAGATACAGAAATGAACTGTCAAATACAAAGGGTCATTAATTAATTAATTTCATGAATCTATACTATTAAAAGAGAAGGAGTCTAAATAAATCTACTTAAAAAAGTTGTTTGGACCCTTTCATTATACTAACATTTTTTTTTATCTTTCCTTATATTTCTCTAACAATATTGTACAATAACATTATATCATATAACTTTCCTTATATTTCTCTAACAGTACCCTCTATCATTTCCATTGATTAATTTTCATAGCTGATGTTTGATAAATAGAGAGTATAAAATATATTGAACATCTCCATTCACGATAAATATGTTTAAAACCAAACATATTATTATTATTTTTAGAGTAAACCTATCTGTAACATAGTATACTGTAATAATACAAAAATCGGTTTATTATCATAGTATTCTAATGTTTGGGGATATTTATACAAACAAGTTATAAAATTAATGATTTACTATTCTAGAGAAACTATTTTAAAACATTAATTTTGTTTAAAAAGATATCTAGACTCGTGAAAGATTGTAACTTATAATTTCAATATTTTCATGAATAATCTAATTTCTATGTATTTCCAGTGTGGTAAT